CGCTTTAACCTCTTGACTACAGCATTAGGCGCGAGCCGCTTGCGCTGGCGGAGGTATATAAATATACTCCCACCTCTTTTTTCTCGCGTGTTTTTTGTTCTTTATTTTTGCTAATATTTACCCTCCCTGGCCGTAACTTTACCTGCCGCTCCTACAGTATAAAGGGGCGGTCAAAGGGACTCCAGTTGAAAGTCCCTGCAGTTAGTTTCTGCGAGCGAAATTAGGTTTTTATGCTAGAAGCAATACGGATTTCTCCGCCATTAGGCAGGGACGCTAGGTACTTCCTTGTCCCCGTGGAGCTGGTCACGTGAGAGAAAAATCCCTCTTGGCCGCAGCCGCGACCGCGGCCGCAAGATGAGCAGACCGGCCCTGAGTGCGGAAGTACAGCGGAAGATGCCAAGGCTGCGATGCGACAGGTGTTGCGTTGCTCGGACTTTGACCTGATGAATATAGCCCTTGGCAAGTCGAATACCTGGAGCAGAGAGAGATCCAAACTCGCTGGAAACCGTCTTCGGAAGCCGAGGTGGTGCAGAATAATTTGCGTTGCCAAGGGCTGGTCGGTTTCGCCTGCAGCTGACACTGGCGGTGTCACGAAGCAACGAAGAGTAGGGCCTTCGACGTGAAGGTCTAAAGCCTTGATAGCGTCGATACGAAGCAGAGATGTGCCTTGCAAAACAACATAGGAAAGGAGGCGCGCCGTACGTCCCTTAAACTTGACTTGGACCGGAAAAACAGCCGCGTGTTGGGATAGGCTGTTTAGAGTAGTCAAACAATTTCACTCGTGGATTAGGAAGCAGCGATTCCGCAGCAAAGTGCTTTTTGAAACGGCTGTCCGCCAAGATCGAGGCAGATGAACCAGAATCGATAAGAAACGTCGATGCCTTGTCATCATCAGCAGAAATGTCGAGAAAAATGTCGTTGCGAGGACGGCTTGTGAATGAAAGGACGCTCAAAACTTCGTCATCGTCGGATGAGTGGTGGCAGTCGACTTCAGTCACAGCGAACGCGGACGAGTGTTGCGGCTTGTTGCAGACGGAGCGAAAATGGCCACGCCAGCCGCTTAGAAAGCAGCACCGATCTTGCGCATCGCAGCGCGATAACGAAGCACGATTTTTTGGGGAACCGCAGCGGGAGCAGAATTACCAAGAACTGGGTGATGCGCGGGAGCCCTTAGTGCTGACAGAGCGACGGTGGTCATGAATTTGGTGACCTTAGCCGGCGGTTGGGGATGTGCATGAAACAGCTTAGTCACGGTGCGACGGTTGGCGGTGGCTCGCTGGCGGCGATTGCTGCCGACGGGAAGACGAGCGAGGCCGCGTTGGCATTGCCCGATGCTGATTGTCGTCTAAATTTACTCACTGAACCTGGCTAGCTGTGAACTCTCGGGCTTCCTTAGCTGCTTGTTAGAGCTCTTGTGCTAGGAGCACGGCACACGAAGAAGACTGCCGAACCTTCGAGAAGAAGGCGCTCTCGAAGTTGCTCGGAAACGATGACTTCTAGAAACTAGTCGTGGAGGGAGTCCTCGAGGACGGCGAATGAGCAACGCGTCACGAGTTCTCGCGCAGTGCGGCAGCGTACTCCAGGACAGACTCGCCTGGTTGCTGGACGCGACGACAGAACCTGTGGCGTTGGACGTCGACATTGCTCGTAGAGGCGAAGTGCTGAGTTAAAAAAGCGACGGCTTGGTCGTACGAAGCCAGTGCCGGAGAAGTCAGTTGCCGCTGTCATCGGTAGTTTTCGCGACGGTAGCGGGCGGAACGGTTACGGAGGCGTCCGAAGAAGGTGGCGACGAAAAGAATGTCCGCTGACCTTTAAGCCCGAGGTTATGCAGCAGCATTAGGGCCTTGCGACGCTCGGTCGTGAAGTGGGACTCTCTAGAAGCTATAAGAAAGGTCTCGAACATCCGCAACCATTGCGGCGACGCAACGGCTGAACGGCCCGGCGCCTCGTGGAAAAGGTGGCGGCGGAGCGAGCCCCGAAATGCTCATGCCACGAAGATACCGGCGAAGTAACGCAACATGGGAAATCTACGAATCTCGTCATCGGTGTGGTGTAGCGACCAAGGAAGAAGTGACGAGCAAGCGGCTGGAGTTGAATAATGATTTTTTAATATATCAGCACATGACTATATAAACAGTAGCTGCATTCAATTCACTTACACGTCCTGCACCAGTGCAGCAAAGTGTAAGGGAGTCTACCTCCGGTGTGTGTATTTCGATACGACAGGAAGTACACCGCCCTACACTTTTCTGCACCGGTGCAGAAGGTGCAAGTAAATCTAACGCAGCTAACAATGTTACAAGAACACTCAGTGGAGAATCTCGCCGTTAAAACCTGTGTCTCTGGCGTGCTCCGAGACCCTTTAGCGACGAGTTGAGACATGAAAGTTGCCTCATATAACTATTGTAAGAGTCACTGAATGTTCTCAGAGTGCCGAAACTCCCAAGTTCGAGGTTCCAAGGTTGCGGGTCAATATTATTTATTTTGCAGTGGTTACCTTGAGCTTTTCGAAGCAGGTTTTTGGGTAAAAAGAAATGGAAAAAAACTCTTTTTGGATTAAATGTTTTGGAGTTTAGCACAAAATGACAGGCGCGTGATGTTTTCTAAAATCGTTAATTTACAAGGATTGGCGGCGCAATTAATATTTATTTTATACAACCATGTACCACCCGTGACTTCAGGTATCGCGTACCGGCCTGGGTGCGTCCTAACTTCGGAAGTAATTCGCGGCGCGTCCGCTTGAAAGACAAGGGTTGGCATCCCTGTAACCCCTCCCACTGTATATGTTTCGGCGCCAAAATGGCCGATTAAAGCCAAAATAGAAGTCACAGCGGACGCTGTCGAATGCGGTGCTCCGTGCAGTTCCCCGAGTGGCCACTGCGCAAAAAATGGCGCCGTTGCGATCGCCATTAGCTCGGCCCTTGAGCACGGATCGGTGCCACATGCTTAGGGCAGGCTCTATGACAGTTTCCGAACTGAGGGGTTCTAGTAACGTTGGCAGCTAATAGCACTAGCGTCACACACAGTACAAGTTTGAAAGATTTAATCCAGTAACCGCAACTACGACACAACGCTCCCCCGTTCAGTTTCGATTTTTGTTTCGAGTAGTAGCGCTTTTTTTAGCTTATAAAATATGCACGTGACGCTCTAACCAAGCATTCATTTGCTAGTCTTCTGACATCATAATAAATCGCCTGGTAAAAAATAAATAATACACTAAGAAACACGTGACAAAACAAATAAATAGTATGGAATAAAATATATAAAACTACTAAAAGTAGTGTTCATTTTGCATTCTCGTTTCAAGCATTCTAAAACAAATTGCTTTTTTTTTTTTGCAGTTTTAAGCAGAATTCGAAAGGTCGTAAAAAATAAGATATTGGCAAATATATTGCAAAGGTACGTTTACATCACGAGTAACACATAGAGTTTCTTTAAACCAAATTCGTGCGAATAAATTTAAAGCCTGGATCGTTTAGCGTTTAAATACCCTTTGCTAAACAAATAAAATAGCGCAAAAAACAGGGACAAAAAGTGTACAGGACAAGCGCTAACTTTAAACTAGTTTTACTCAGGAAAACCAAGCATATATATACACACGACAGGAATAGCAGCACCACATAAAAGCTGACTATTGTGGTGCTGCTTTTCCTGTCGTGTGTATATATATGCTTGTTTTTCCTGAGTAAAACTAGTTGAAAGTTTGCGCTTGTCCTGTATACTTCTTGTCCTTGTCTTTTTTTCGCGCTATTTTATATGTTTAGCTAAGATGAACCAACTGGCCCAACAACGTACCCTACTAAATACCATTTGTGTTTTCATGGGCTGGACTGGATAAAGAGTGGCAGAAATGGCGTTTTCCCGACGTCCAAGGTCGCACAGTTCTTGCTCACGAGGGAGAGATAGTGCATTGAGAAAATGGAAGGGGGCCTTTTTGCTGCTGTTTGCTTGAAGATAACTTGTTTGTTGTCAGTCGAAATACAGCCCCCATCAGAAGCTGGTCGCGCTGTTTCTTTTCTTTTTCTTTTCGTAGACGAGCGCAAGGAAAATGAGGAAAAACAAGAGGACGCTAAGTGTCGGCTTCCCGTCCCCTGCGTACGACATATCTTTTAAAGCCGCTGTGTGTGCGGACAAAGACGGTCATTCAGTGTCTTGTTTATGGCGCCTCTTCGTCCGTTCAGCTTCAGAAGCATCCAGTTTCCGAAAAAGACTCCGGAGACGCAACCGCGACGCAAACATAAGACCAGACCGTGACTGGACTCAAGATTTCTCAATGGCGGTGGATGTTGGTGGCGCGTTCGTCGTCTTCGCTAAACGTGCTACAGACAGTGATTTTGTGTGCGTGTGGTGCACCTGCCTGGTTTTATTCGTTGAACTACCGTACATTTCATGTATTTACCCAGCGGCATAATAAGTACTTCGAAAGATGTTATTTTGTTTTGCAACTGAGAACTTTGGTGGCCTATTTTGTCCGATCGCTTCTTTCTAGACCTGCTTGCGCCCGTGTTTGAGTAAGCGTTGATTATTTATGCCTTTTTGATTTGCAACATGAATGTAGAACTTGATGCTTGAAATAAATTTTCGATACCGTTTTAAATTGCATTTTTGTCTTTGATTCAGTCAATCTGACATTTAACGGGTTAAAGGGCTGAGGGTGTCTGAAAGTCTGAAGCGTCTGAAGGGATCTTAACAGGTGAAGGGATTTGAACGTCTGATGTTTTTGTTGGGCTGAATGGTTTGAAGCGGTGAGAGGGTCCCTTAACATATTAGGGCTGAAGTGTCGTTTTCAATACGGCACTTTGAATACATGGGTGGAATAGGACTCCAAAAAGAACATTGGGAGACGAGTTTCTAGCGCCGTAGTTTATACGTTTACCTGAAGATTCGATTCTGCCTTAAAATAAAGTATATAAAACAATTGTCGTCTTTGCCTTTGAATATGTGAAGGATACTCACATTGAGAAATGTGCAACCGAGTAGAAGTATGCCCGACGCCTCACCTGGGAGGCGCAAGTTGTTTCCAAGAACCATGAAGCGGTAGACCATCCAGAGCACGCTCACACCGACCAAAGGTTCGCCCATGATGATCGTCTCCAGAATGTGGGACTTGGCTGGTAAAAAAGAGGAGTTCGCATGAAATAACAAAAGTCAAGCGTAAGTCACTCTTCGAATTGAAAAATTGCACTATCCAAAAGGAAGTTGTCGAAAAGGTGCACACGCAACAAGACCCTCTGCAAACTAGTTTTATGCTACACTGACAGGATATTGGCAGCAGTACATCCTTTTTAAATTGCGCGTACTTGCTGACACTCGCTGTGCTTCGGGGGAGCGTGCTTGCTCAGGCTTACGACAGACCGAAGGGTTATTGAAGGTGGACAGCAGGCACTAGAGGAGGGCCAACTAAATCCCCACTCCTGTCGATCTCATTCTGACTAAATATAACACAAACTTCTTGCTGCGAGTGTAGTCACAAGCGCTCCAAGTGCTATACTCCGTTCACCCTTAAGCTGAGACTAAAAGCTCCGGCTTCAGAACGAGCATTCTGCCCTTGCTAGCACAAATGTGAAGGAGCAGGCACGCGCCACCAAAGCACTGCGGAAGCCATCATGTTCTTTCTGCCGCAGTGTCTAGTTTCAGCTAAAGTGTGAACGGAGTGTAGACCCTGCAGGCAGTAACTACTCTAAAGATCGGAAACAAGTTCCACCTTGCAGGTAAAGACGAGAACAATAGAAAGTGCAGAAAGAAGAGAATTGTTCTGCTAGAAAATCAAGAAACCTAAGCGGGTGAAAACTGACAGAAAAGTTGACGAGAGAGCGCGGGGACGCCCGAACTCCGATTTATATGAAAGAAATTGTGTGTAGGTAGACGCAAATCTAGATGCCTTCGTCTTGACCGGTGTCCGAACACGTCTGAAAGCCAACTCCAAACGCTAGACGCTGGCGTTCGGCGTCCAAGTGCGTTGGATGAGCAAGTAGAGACAGAGGCAGCGAGCTTTCCGTCTACCCACTCATCATTTCAAGCAGAGCTCGGTTTTAAGACTTCCCAGCACCATCTCGTCTCCTCCTGTTACCAGAGCCGTGTATAAAGAGAGTTTGGTCAATGGAAGGCGTGGGAAGAGCCAGGACGTGCACCAGACGCAGCAAGAGGTCTTGTCATGCTCTTTTGGCCAACCAGAAGCCGAAAAGAATCCCCTAGGGCTGGTAGCGGGAAACAGTTTTAAGCATAGGTACTTGGTTTTAATAAGCGCGTTAGACTTAAATGTAGTAACCTTTACGGTTGGAAATAAGGTGCACGTGATGTTTCGATTATGATCATGCAGAAAGATATAAGAAACGAATGTGCCGCTCAACTCTGTTTTCCTCGAACAGCGTTTGACCGCTCGGACGGTAGATTGCCTGCCCTCGGCGCCTGGCGTACGTATTATGTTTATCGTGACGCAAGTGGCGCACTTCCACCGTGATTTTGGATGACCATGATTGAAACATCGCGTCCACCCTATTTTCAATCTTTGAGAGTTAGTCCGACACAGTTATTAAGTTTGTTTATCGAGACCACTGCCAGGGTATTATTTCCGGCTTCTGCTTGGCCACATTCGAATTTGTGAAAACGCCCTGGAACACGATCAGCCGCATTCGGCCAATGGCGCCTCCTCATTTGCGTCGTATACTTCCCAATGAATGGTTAAACTCTCCGTATATACGGCTCTGCCACTGCCGTAATTTTTATCCGTATAGATCCTTCTGTTTACAAACGGGAAACGAAGGTTTTACACACTTTTCTTTTAATCTTTTGTGCTTGTATGTATATGCCATTTATTGTCTATTTTCGTACCATGTTGACGCAAGTTTTGTAATATTGCTTACTTGTTTTTCATATCTTCGGCAAAAATGCTAAATTTGCGTTGTTTTCTAGTTTTACTCTTTTTTTTTTTTTGCGATGTAACGTTCCTACTGCTTGTATGGTTCCTCAGACACCCTCAAGCTGTCTTCGAGAACCTTTTTTTTTTTTCTGGGCAGCCGCAAGAGCACTTTGGAAAAATAAATAAATTACATTGAAATTAACTGTCGCTTGCGTCCCCAGCGACTTGCGACTGCTCCCTCTTTCCAAGCCTTTCAAGCTTGTTTATGTCAGACGCGCTAGAATGCAGAAATGATTCACGCACAACAAGGTTGGAAATTCAACGAGGGTCATCGGCTGTATAATTTTACGTCTTGGAGGAGGCAATTTGGTTCGCAACAATATTCGAAAAATGTGAACCTGTTGAACCCTAGGTCCCCGAGACAAGCATACCCATGCTTTTGTGGGCCTATATATGTACTTTGTTCGAAAGAGATACAATAAAATATTTTTTATTTATTATTTACAATCTCGCGCTTCTTCTTTATTTTTTGGCGTTCACCTGGAGAATTGGTGGTTAAATGTTTTATTAACATTTCAAGCGGCGATGTTTAAGTGGCTTTTGTTCCTTTTTTTGTGAACCGGATGTTCTCTGGGGCGTCAAAGACTGGGGCGCGGCCTGGTGGCATTTGCCATGAAAGGGTCTATGCATCAACGCGTGGCTCTGACATAATGCCGCTGCGGTGGTGTAGCAATGGGTAGTGAACTTGCGCAAACGCTCCATTTCAGGAAAATCTTGTTTCTGCGCACGCACAGTGCACATACATCGTGCGGGGAACTGAGCGTTGGACCACACCTTGTGTGGGCTTGTTAGTGAATAGGGCGTTGGTCTATCTTTGGAGAAACGAAAGCCTCTTGGCAGGTTCAATTTTATGTGTTCGCGCCTATGGCCTGTGGTTTGCTCGCTTTTCGGATCCATGAACACTCGAATGCTGGACTGAGCAGACCGCAAGCAGGGCTGAGGATTTGTAATCACTGGAATGATGTATAGCTACACGCGCTGTGAGTACGGCAGGAAGGAGCATGACTTGTCCCGCTTACACTGCCATACTGCCTACTCTCTACAACGCTTCTGTGTCTCGTGCACCTCCAGCTCGCACACGCCAGCAAATCATGGCGGAGGACATGGAACTCGGGCTGGAGTCTACAGTATCGTCTTCATTTGAAAATGCCCTACTCTAAACTTCTCAGAACTCCAATTAGCTGACGCGTCCTTGTTCAGTTTTGCAGTGAAGACTTCTTTAGAGCAGTAACGTAACCAGGACGGAGACTTCTAGGGTTTCAGCTCCTTCAAAATTCAACCCACTCTATAACATACACATGCATTTTGACCCTCCTTTCCCCCCCCCCCCCTCTCCACACGCAAAGTCATGGACGTCCAAGCCACCTCAACCCCCTCCTCCTCCCCTAAACAAAATTACTGGATACACCACTGCAGCAAAGTAGAGTAAGAAAATAGGTACCTGTAGAGAGGACCTTCAAGTCGGACACAAACATGGGTTCAGGACAGCAGGTCAGAAGGCTGACAAGGACCGTTTCCTTCAAAGTTCTGTGCTCCGCGTCGGATGTTCCAGATATGTAGAGCACAAACAGCATCGTGCTGAATGCTGAAAACGAAATCAAGACAACGAGAACAACTGTTTTGCTACATTACAAACGTGTACAATTTGTTTCTGAATGGACGGCCCTCACAAGCCAGTTTGGCAACGCCAGCGCTGCCGGAGTGCATCGAAGGAACTGTAGCATTTCTGTAGATACAGCAACCGAAATGCAGCTGTACGCATGCAGAGCACAAGTCGGCACAAGCCGACTTGTGGACCGCAGCTTTCATGCTGTGGACTAAAGTTATGACAGCGTCATCATGCGCCGAACGCTTCGTGAGATTGGTCTTTTGTTATGACTTAAAGGGGCTATGCAAGGGTATTGAGTTAGAATATTTCTCAATTTACACTAGCTAGCTGGCATTACCGTGCTTCATATGCACTCGCACTCAACGCCACTGACGCGTTGTAGCTTGAATAATAAAAGCTGACTTATTTGCGTATCTCCTTCCCACTTCCTGATAATACAGTCATGAAAATCGCAGCATTGACATATGCGTACGAATTACAGAATCGTGACGATATCCAAATAAGGCTAAAAGACTGGGCATGAACCATGCGTGAATACTGGATTTGGGAGCGTGAAAAACGAACTACGGCTGGTTTACAATCCTGGCACATGAATTATGGCTCATGCACAATCAGCGTTCGGGTATTGGCCAAAGCGTCGAAAGATGTTCAGTATCGGGCGTGGGTCCAATTGCTGATTTGAAGCCATCCAACCGCGATGAAGGCTTCAAGGAGGAAGAAAATGATGTTGGCAGGCATCAATTATATTAAGTAGTGTTGGCTGGACTTGTGCCGAGAAATGCAACACCAAGATCGTGGGTTTTATCCCAGGGGACCGAGCTCTGGTTTAGAACGCCAAATCATACCATAAGTAAGCGCAGAAATAATAGTGCAACCGACCGAATTATTGCGAGCCCATAATGTTCTCGAAGTACGTAATTTTTTATAATATCGAGGAAACAAATCCCACACTAATGTTATGCTATGGCAACAAGGTTGTAGCACACCGCCCTCTCGCTAAATCTAAAGTCCGCGTAACAATCCCGAAGCCACACTTCGGCGAATTCGGATGGATATTCAGGCCGCGAAAATAAAGTCGCAGAGCCGTCGGCGATGTTTGGGGCCGAAAGTGCAGCTGTTGTCGTGTCGGCCTTCTATTATTGTGTAAAAGCTCACTATGATGTCTACTGCAGGTTTGATTCTACCTTCCTCCACGAGAAGAAAGGTAGCATCTGGCCATTGTTTTAGCCAGTGCTAGTTTAAGGACGCTATGATTTTAAGCTATCACCGTGATTTTTTTTGATACGCCATCAAAGTTGTCTTAGCGTCAAGTCCAATTGGTTACATGTTTTGCATTAGGTCCGGTTGCAGCCAACGCTACGATTAAATCGAGCCAATCAAAGCGGCGCCATCAGTGCACCGTCAATTCGGTCGTTGTCTTTCGTTTGGTGTTTTGCCCTTTATAGCGTTTGACTATAAAGGGCCAAGCCAATCATGCCCAACAAAAAAGCGCGTGGTCACGCCACGTTCCCTGCGCGTAATTGCTTTAGCCGGGGATAGCAGGCGCACAAGTGCGATGACCGCCGTAACGACGCACATTTGGCTATGCTTTATTCACTCTACCCAATCGTAGAATAAGCTGTGTTAACATTTAATGCGAAGTGGAGTCCTGACTTTACGAGTAGCAACTATGAGCGGGTGCTATTCAAAATCTGCCTGCCCATTAACAAGAAGATTAAAAATAAGGGAAGACCTTGTACAGCTTTCTTTTTCCTCAGAACACAGTGATTACACAGGATCAGTAGACTGGGTGTTTTACATCTCCCTCAATCGAGCGCGGGGCCAAGATGTGCGCGACTGCATTTTCAGCCGTCAGAGAGTTTTCGTGTTTAGGAGTAATATCTTTGTCATAAACGCGAACGTTCCACTTCCGGTACCACTACCTCCCCGCCCCACCCCTCCCCCGGAAACCGCGCTATCCCATTGGCCAAAGCTGTTGATGGTGGGAACGTTCGCGAAAGATGAAAATCGCCCGTTTGACGTTACAGTCGCTTTTTCGAGTTCGGATGGGTACCACAAAGTAACGGATGACCAGGTATGAGTTGCCCGGCGCAAAGTGGAAGTCGCGTCACTAGATTAACTGTGGCATTACTCGGCACATCCTATACTCAGTTTCACCGCTAGTGCGAGCTAGTGCGAGTGTAGGAGCCGCGACCTTCACTATACTTACGACCACGTCAACTGGAGCGCGACTACTGGGGACTCTAGCCCCAGATGCGGCCGATATAGTTTCGCGCCATCCACTAGATGGCGCCATTACTCAGCATTTCAAGGCATCCCAGAAACGCTTGGGCCAATGGGCATGTGCGTGGCCGGCGCGCTTAGTTCCTTAAAGCAACCACTTTGAAAAGGAAGACAGAAAAGACGTCAATGTCGAGGTAAGGCAATGCGAAGCGAGAGCAGCCAGGATACAGAACGTCGTACCCAAAATTCATCGGGCGCGCGCTAGGTCACAGGGGTAGAACTGCAATAGGCCAATTGATATGAGGGTAGGCAATGGATAAAAACAACGAGCTTGAGTCTTCCCTCAGAGTGGTAAACCGGAACCCACTGCCTGCAGCGGAAATGGCACCCCCCTGGTTGCCGCCATCTTGCCTGTTTGCCACATTAGTGATCACGTGACGTTACGATGGCTGCGCCCAAAGGTGGGCCAGATCAGATTGGCCAGATCGCGGTCAGCAGATGGGCACTCTGGGGCTGCGTTCCAATCTTAGTCGAATGAAGCCGAGTTCGTCCGGCGGATCACGTCACGTGACAAGACAGATACAGCAATTGTGGACGCGGGTGAGTTTTTGAACTCAACGGGTACGAGAACTTCACCCAGGAGTGAGATAGAAGGAGCGTTCGATTTACTTCCACCTCCTGCTGCCTGCACAGGTGCAGAAAAGTGTGGGGCGGTGTACTTCTGGTCATATCTCAATACATATACCGGAAGTAGACTGCCCTACACTTTTCTGCACCGGCGCAGGTTGTCTGCGCCGGTGCAACGCCTCCTCTATTTTAGATGCCTGTCAGACGAGCGCTTTCCGCCCGATCGGACCCTTTCCCTTTACCCTTTCCACTTCGCTAGAGATTGCCGCTCGCGGCGCTGGCAGCTGACCACACAACTACGCACGCGGTGCGCTTAGTTTGGGTACGCGTGATCGTGGCTGGCAGCATCGCGACGAGTTACGTCAACGGTGCAGATCCTTTCTAGTGTCGACCTCACTACCACCGTCGCGTGATCTATTTCTGTTTCCCTCCGTGTTTGCAGTGAATCGCGTTCATCATGCGGTACTGTTGTGTGCCGCTGTGCACGTCAAGTGCAAGAAAGAAAGAACCCATTGTTTCGTTTCACGAGGTTCCGGCTGACGTCGTGTTGCGACAAAAGTGGATCAAGATGATATCACGGAAGGACTGGGAGCCGAACACCACGTCGAACTACTCCGTCGTCTGCAGCAAGCATTTTGTGTCTTCGGACTTCAAGGAGAACACTAAAATTCGCCAGCTGAAGAAAGGAGCGGTGCCCAGCGTGTTTGCGGGCTATCCATCCTACATGTGTTCTGCGCCTCCAAGACAACGTCGAGATGAACGTAGTCGCAAGCGCGCACTGCAGCCCGGTGATGGCAAGAACAGGACTGTGAAGAGAATGTGAAAAACAACTGCAGACACAGGTGACGTGCACCTCGTCAACTGCACTGTGGACTCTGTCAGAGCTTCTGTTTGCGACGAACATGTGCAACTAACCGTCACATCGGCCTGCGTTAGTCCAGCCCCCACCAGCAGCAAAGCAAGCATGAGTCCAACACCTGTAAGTCACATCGCTGGCGGAGACGAATCGATGCCGAAGCGTACTGCAGCACCTAGTAGCAACAGCAGTGCAATGGTTGGCGCGCGATCATTTGCGAAACGAGCGTTTGCAACACAGACAGAGAAGACCAGGACCAGTGCAAGCGGTTTCGTGGAACGTAGGAAAGGGAGAGCTAAGGAGCAAGCGCTTCGTATACAGATCTCAAGACTGAAGGAAACAGTGGACAAATATAAGGAGGAGCTGCGAAAGCTGAAAGAAGACTGCAATGTCAGTACTTTCCTGGACGTTGTTGCCGGTGCCGAACAAAAGAATGTCTGGGCTGTGTTCCTTCTTGACCAGATAACCAACTACGACAGCAAACGACCGACATGGTCTGAGACAACTGTGCGATATCGCATTATTTTCAGGAGCATGTCAACAAAGACATCCGAGTACATCCGGTGTGAACAGCTGCTGCATCTACCGTGCCGGAACACCTTGCAGAAATACATTGGGATCGCATCTGGCGAAGTCGGTTTCAGCTCTTTGGTTCGATGTAGACTGGAGACGGAGCTTCAAAGCCTAGTCGCACCTCAGTCAAGAGTGTGCAGCTTGGTGGTTGACGAGAAGCACATCAAGCAAGAACTGGAGTACAACAAACAGCGAGACGCCTTTGTTGGTGACGTCAACATGAGCCTAGATTTGGACCACCTAACGCAAGCTGAGAACAACAGCATACTAGCAAACTCATTGCTTTGCTTTCTGCTCTGTGGTTTGGCAGCACGCTTCAAGATACCCGTCGGGTATTTTTTTACGAAGGCCTGCACGGGAGCAGAACTTGCGGAGACCATTGTTCACGTCATCAAAAAGGCCGAAGAACTTGGTTTTGAGATAGTTCGACTGGTAACGGACAATCACAAAATAAATGTTGGTGCCATGGACATTCTTTGAAAAGGGCAGGCGGCAACATCGGCTCCGCATCCAGCTGATTCTTCAAGGATCATTTTCCTTGCTTTCGACCAGTGTCATATTATAAAAAATGTGAGGTCGTAGTTTCTTGCGAAGAGCATGGGCGGGCAAAAGGAGATATCAGCCGCACCTTTGAAAGAACTGTGAAAGATGCAGCAAGGATCCATGGTAAAGCCGATCAGGTTTCTCACACGAAAGC